AACTCTTCCTCTGTAACAAGCCGTGAAGGCAAAGGGGAAACAGACTCAGAACTTTCTGCCCCCTTTTCTGAACAAACTTTCTTCCAAGCTATCTGAAATATTAATTGTCAATGAGGAATTGGATTATATGAGGAAAACATAGTCCCAGGATGATCACAAGTATTTCAGTATGTACCATCTCTTCTTCTCGCCTCTTTCTGTCAACAGATTCGAACACATCAATTTCTGACTCGCTAAGCAGAGAGAAGGGGAAGAGTAAATATATAAGCACTCTCATAAATTACATGCATTGATCAAAATTGAGTGTCAAACATCCCAGAATTGGATGCAGATTTTTTTTGGATAAGTGATAAAGTTGTGTTAGAAAAAGAGAGAAAGGGAAAAGTGCAATCAACTAGCAAGTAGCAAGTGATGGCAATGCAACGATAGACCTAGTCTAATCCCAACTGCGTTTGGGTCTGAGGGGTCAAAAGATGTATGCAGCCTTGCCTTGTAAAATCAGAGAGGCTGTTGCCATAGACCCTTGATGCATTGCCGCATTTTCTTCCCAAAACAAGAAGCAAGGGAAGTTAAATTTGCAAGAAACACCAACAACAATTTTTTAAGTGAAAACAACACAAAAGCGAAAAACTATCATCATCATCATTATGTTTAATATTGTTGTTGTTGTTGTTGTTGTTGTTTCTCCCTCTGTCCCAGAGTATTCGTACGGTATTCCGTTTTGGTCATCCCACAATACCCGTCTACTTATCTTTGTTGGTTTAAAAAAATCAAATGAAATGTCAATGTTACCCTCATCATTTATTCACGCCCATCCAACCCATTTACTCCCTATTATCCTACTCTCTCTATCATTTACACCCACCAGCTGTGTTTCCACTCTCGCCCAATTATTCTAGATCCATCTCTTCACTTTCTTATTTCTTCTCAATCTAAACCCCGAATCTGAAAATGGGTTTGCACCCGGTGTCTTCTCTAGTGATTCACCTCATTCATCACTGACTGGTGCGAGCACGGCCAAACAAATCAGACCAATCCAAAATGGTATCAAAAGTGGTAGCTTGAATCGGATATAGCCATTCAATTCACGTGGCATTCTACGCCTCTCAGAGGATCTGATATCAGAAAATCAGAAACCGAATTCGAGTTCTCAAAACATTTTGGGTTCTTCTTGCTCATTTCCTCCGCACTCACTCCTTCACTCCTATCAGTCCATATTCCATAGTCTCTCCCCTTTCTTACTTCCCTTCTCTGGTCCATGCTGAAATTCCCTTTTTGACTATTTCTTCTTCTCTGTTTGATTGGTTTTTACTTAAAATCTTTAAGTTTCAAATTTTAATCAATGCTCAACAATTCGTCCTTATTTCAAAAAAAAATTCTATCTATTATGTAGGACATATAAAACAAAAAAAACTAGAAAAGAACTCCAATAGATAATGGACTGGGGATGGGGCTGGACAGAAACTGATACGGCAGGGAATGCTGGTAGTTTAGGGGTAATCTCTTCATTGTTCCCCTCACCTTGGTTTTTGTGCCAAAACAAAACCGGAAAAATACCACTGGATGGAGGGAGTATTATTATTATTATTATTATTATTATTATTATTATTATTATTATTATTATTATTATTGTTATTATTATTATTATTGTTGTTGTTGTTGTTGTTGTTGTTGTTGCTGCAGCTGTTTTTGTTGGTGGTGGTGGTGGTGGTGGTTGATAGAGTGCCCACATATGTAGTTATTTTATGTTATTAATATTTATGGTAAAGTCCGTTAGGATTATTGTTTATCAGGTCAAATGTTTTATTTTGTACATATGTTAGTTACTTAGTAAATAGTGTGTAAGTGGGCCTATATTCTAGGAGTAGTTGCTAAGTAATGTGGTAGGGAACCTAAAGTCTAGGAATAGTTACTAAGTAGTGTGGCAGTGGGCCTAAATTATAAGGATTGGTAGTTATTTGGCTTTTATAAATATTGAGGTTCATTATTTGTAAAACTATCCAGAAAGTAATATAATATTTATTATTGGAGATTCTTCTTGGCTTTATAACTTATATGAGTTTAAGATTCTTGCTCATATTCTGATAAAGATTTCCCTTCATCCTTATTATTTTATGAATTTAGATTCTGATTTCATAATTTGATAAAGAATATCCTTCATTTATTTTCCCCACCAATCTTGAGTTCTATCATTTGGTATTGGAGCCATAAGATCTTTATGGGTTCCTTCTGGAAAAATTCAGTTTCTCCTTTTTCCCCATACAATTTTTCATCCCTCAGTTATTCTCCTCATGAAGTACAGCAATTGCTTTACATTGTAGCTCGCCTTGATGTCATTAATTCCAAACAGGCAGCATCTCAAGTTCAAGGTACGGCTGTTAACTATGTGACACCCTACAAAAGAATCTCATCCGGTAAATTCCATCTAAAGGTGAAAGGAAACAAATTCAAAAACAGAAGGGCAGGATTGCATTCGTTTGTAAGCCCAAACCTAATTCCTTTGCAGCCAACGACTTCAATTCCTTTTGTCTAACAAGTAATTTCCTGCATGAGGACAAGAGAATTTCAGTTGCAACTCTAAGTTGGCCCCTGATTGTGAATGCAATGGTGTCGTCCTCACATTGCCCTTCCATGAATCTGAGTATCTGACTAGAGCATCTCTCTTGGAGAGCAATTGGCAATGGCAATCCAAGTCGAGGCTGTTCCAATATGAAGGAATGATTAATATTGGTTGCCACTATCAAACCTCTTCATTCTCACCAACAGAATTGGCTATAAAAGGAGCCATGATTGTTATGCCAAGTACTGATGAGAATGCCTCCAATTTGGGGTTAGAAAACTCTTATATACGTGTCAACACCAACCTGGGAAATTCTATATCATCACCGATAAAGCTTCATGAACTCTTGGATAGTGGCGTCATGCATCGATTTACCCTTGAAGTTGTTATGTCATATTTGGACCCTTTTGTTCAAAGCACCACTGCTTTCATTGGAGTTTTTCATTATATTGTCTTCCTACCACCTCTGCCGAAACCTCCAGATATACAAAGAAGCTGTCCAGATTTTTCCTTGAGGACAAGGCAAATTTTGAAGGAGGGGATAATGATAGAGTGCCCACATATGCAGTTATTTTATGTAATTAATATTTATGGTAAAATCCGTTAGGATTATTGTTTATCAGGTCAAATGTTTTATTTTATATACATGTTAGTTACTTAGTAAATAGTGTGTAAGTGGGCCTAAAGTCTAGGAGTAGTTCTAAGTAATGTGGTAGTGAACCTAAAGTCTAGGAATAGTTACTAAATAGTGTGGTAGTGGGCCTAAATCATAGTCAAAGAATTCGTTCACCTAGCCACGATTTCCGAATTGGTACGAATCGTACCGGATCGTAAGTCGCCAGCGATCCAATCGCCAGCGGTACGGCGATCCAATTCGGGTCGGTACGGTGCTCCAATTCGCAAATCGCCGGCGATCCAGATGCCCTCGAACGCCGCACCAAGTCGGAGATGGTGGAGTACCAATCGCTGGCGGTCCAGCGATCCCAATCGCAATTTCGTCTCTTCCGCGACCTTCCCTCTTCCAATTTGCGTCAATTCGCGATTGCACTCCCCCAGGTTTTGTGCGAGTCGTTCCTAGCCTCCGTGCGTCTCTCGATGGTTCTCTGACTTATGTTTCGTTTTTTCCTAGGCAGTCTCCATTCTCCAAACATATATATATATATATATATATATCTCATCTCTCAAGTCTCACCACAACCCAATCTTTATTCACTCAATAGTCAATATCCAGTAATTTTTTCTCTCTTTTTTCAATGGCTTTTGGCAAAAATTATAGAGCCAATAATTCTCAAGATGATAATAACAGTGAGTCCCATATTANACTCCCACAGCCCTAGCCCACAGCTTTGACACCATGTCCTTCCAAGAACCCACATGGCTCATGGATACCGGTGCCACACACCATATCGCCTCAAATCCAGGTACTCTTTCTCATGTCTCTTCTCAAGCTTTATTTTCACCTCATTATATCAGTGTTGGTAATGGATCTAAAGTTCGCACTACGGCGGTTGGCACCCACACACTCCCCACCACCCCTCCCCTTTCCTTGCAACTATGTGATGTCTCCTTCTCTATTAGGGGGTCCATATTTATAGTTCAACAACACTACCAAAACAAGAATATGAAATACTCTGCCATCAATTACACTGTTAATTATTCCCTGCACATGATTTGTTCCTTTGGACCTAACTACACATGCGGCATGTCTGTATCACAAAATAACTTAGAAAAATGCATTGTAGAGCCCTTGGAGCAAGTTTGCTTGAATTTTTTTTGTGAAGATCCTGTACAGAAAAGATACATCCATATATTTTAAGTAGAAATGAGAAGAGAGGTCTTGATGGGTAGAAAAGGATATGAAGTCTACCTTTAAGAAGTGAAAAGGCAGTCCGTCCACAAGGAAAATACAACGGTAAACAACATCAAGACAAAAACTCTCTGTAACTCTCATATGGAATAACTAAGATGTTTGTAACGTCCAACATGACAATTCATATGTTGCGTATGTCATTTTGTTTGGATGCTTACACAAGAGGACTGGTGAATGCTTTCCTTTCGAGCTGTGAACCAAAAGTTGCCTAATTTGCTCATACCTCTGCAATTGCCAACTCATTTTTGTGGTCTTTTAGAGCTCCAAGAACACGTTGAATGCAAAATTTAGATTTATTTTTGCTCAAGTAATGGGCATGACAATTACTAATATCTCAACTTATCATTGTTTGTGATATTTCTATGCATGTGTGTTGTGGAAGTAATATGTGATGATGACGGTTTTAGAATTGCTCCGATTATTATTCCTTCTTAAGAAGGCTGTGAGAGAAAGGGAATCCTACTTAAAGCAATGCCCTTATGTTTTTTTTTGAATGAATTCATAGTGTTAAGTATTTTTATGCAATTAATTATAATTTATAACTATAGATTTAGTGCCATGATTCAACTTGTTGCATGAATGAATCCCAATATTCCCTTAGAGATAAGGGAAACAAAAAGGGAAAACTTATGTACAAAAAATTATGAACCAAATAGACGTTACAATAGTAAAATTAAATGAAACAAAAAACTACAAAAAAGAGAAGAAATGAACCTTACCTTCTACGGCCATGGCCATGATTTGCTTCAAGGCAGACTCATGTAAAGCACTCACGAACAAGGGAGCGGCGGTGTTCCAAGTGATCTCTGCTGATGAGGCTATGCCAAGGCAGATCACGGATGGAGGGGGCATGGTGCGCTATGCCGTTGCACTCAGTCTAATAAGTTTCATGCCACCAACCCCAACGTAGTTTGGATTAATGTGTTGATTATTACTACATATTACGACTCTTGCCTTAAGAAGGCATGTTTTTATCAAGGTACAATTTTTTAATTTTGTCATGTACGGCATTTATAAGTCATCAGTTTTACATAAACTTTTTTGTTTATATGTTGGTTAACTTGAATTTAGTTTATTCAACATGTCTCGGATTCTCTGTTTTCACTGAAGAACGGATTTCATTTGTTTTTTAAACAGTGTTTTTAAACATAACTCTTCTGTGACAGATGGAGTAATATTTACCTCATATATGCTTAAGTGAATTGCTCCAAAAATTTACTTTTTCATACTGATATTCACAGAATCAAGGGAAAGACATTGCAGACAGCGAATTGCTTGACTATATATCAGAATCAATAACATTGAGCACGTCTTTAGCTGATTGTGGTGAGCAAAAGTCATGTGCAGTTACCACAGCAAAACGCCTTCGGGATTTTCTTGGGGATGCAATGGTTAAAGATAAAGGCTTATGTTGCCAGTATATAGTTGCATGTGAGCCAAAGGTAAGCTTCTACCCGTGTTTAGTTGCAATTTTACTTTCAATATTCTGCATTGTGAATTACAATCACTATCCAAAATGTAATAATGGCTTTCTACGGTGTATTAGGTATTATTTGTTGACACATAGTCACACACACGCACAAACCAAACCAAACAACCCCAATAAGTCCAACTCGGAAGTAGGGTCTGGGAGGTAAGATGTATGCAGACCATACCTCTATGCTCTATCCAAGGAATAGAGAAGCTGTTTCCGAGCAAAGCCTCGACTAAGGAAAAATTTGAAAGTATAGAATGAAGTAAACAATTTGATGGAAAAGCACTTGCATTTTTTTAAGATGAACATCAAAATGTGGCAGTTAGTATCTTAAGTGTGGGACAATTATGTTGGTTTAAAAAACAAGAAATAAAAGGCAAAATGCACTGACATAGGACAGCTCAAACAAGAAGACAAGTAAGCTATGAAAATACGTATTTAAAAAGAGGCTGGAGGATTTGTAGCCATGCGACAGCCTCCAGTCATTTAATTAATGAGAGACGTCGTAGGCAGCCTCGAGAGAAGTCACGCTAAGAAGTCTCCGCTTGTTGTTGGCTGGGAGAACGACAAGCCTTCATCAGCATCTGGGTGAAGTTGGTCCTGAAATAAATAAGCATATAAATAGAATAAATAAATAAAACAAAAATTGTTCTTACCCCTACCACCACCACAGCCTGCAGTATAGTGTTGTGGGTACACAATTTGTTGTTGGAACTCCAATGCCACAATGCATGTCTTATCTACTAGCGTTTTATTTTAGTTACCTTTCTGGATCTACTAGTGTTCTACTCCCTCCGTCCCAAAAAGAGTCACCTATTGTTTACATGGTTTGACTGAAGTTATTTTCAATTCAGTTTATTTGAACATTGGTAAAAAAATAGATCTCTTAACTGTCCGCGCTTCTTTAATTAATGAAGTAGCAGTTAGTCAATCAATGCAACTTTCGACGTTGAGCCGGGGGTCTCTTTGGAAACAACCTCTCTATTTCCAAGTAGAGGTAAGGTCTGCATACACACACCCTCCCCAAACCCTACTCTTGTGGGATTCAGTTGGGTTGTTGTTGTATTAGAAAAGATTTATAAAATAATATTGACATATTTAAAACTACATCAAACGTTCTAAAAAACAAGATGTGACACAATTATATTATTTTCTCAAATGGGTCACAAAATTGGGTTAAGAACGTGGTTAAAGTTTGACTCTGTGAATAGTAGACAAACAACTTAAATTGGGACAGAGGGAGTAGTAATTTTACCTTTCTGGCAAGTTTAGTACAACATCAATCAACCCACCAAGCATATTGATATGGATATCCACTTTGTTCGTGAGAAGTGGCACTTGGCCATATCTTTGATTTAGCAGTTATTATACACATCTTCATACTAATATTTCTGGACGGCTTCATCCCATTATTAATGTAAATCTTTATTGTAATTATCCTTGTTTATTTAGTCCGGTAGCTTTGTTACTTTTTATATGCCTCTCACGGAGTGCAATCATTAGTGAGTGATGCACTCTTTTCTTTCCCTACAATATGAAAATGTATAGAGTTCAATGGTAAAAACAACGACCCAGTAAGGTTCCACAAGTGGGGTCTGAGGAAGTGGGACAATACCCTTAGCATAAAAGTATATCAACTCAAGAAAACATTAAAAACATAAGAACAATAAAATATTTAAAGATGAAAAATTGTGTTAATAAAACACAACTTTGATGAGGTAGAGGGTGGTCAAGTGGTTGGACCACGAACGTATATTCCTCCTAGGATCGATCCCTCCCCCTACTCCCTTTCCACAATTATCATTGGGTTGATCCGAGAAAAAAATGATCCCAAAAAAGCACAACCATAAAATTTTAAATTTGTAAAGGGTTGGCGAAGAACACAGCTAAGGGTTTATTCATATTCATTCCTGTTAGAGTCTATCCCACATCGGAAGTTGGATAGAAAAGTAATCGATATATAAGCTCTTGAGCTGAACTAAGTAATTGATTGGATTCAATCTTTTAATGTGGTGCAGCTCAAGTGTCTTATTACCCAATCCTGTTATCCTTACCCCATCCTAAAATCTATCATGGTACCGGAGCAGGTTTTGGCCCACCTCGTTTGTCAAGGTGTCCGTCTAGACGTTCATTCCTCGCGGTCCGTTTGTCTTTAGCTCAGTTGTCTGTATGGAGTATGTACCCAACAGCTCATGGGCCGTTTAACCCGATTGCTCGTCTGGAAGTCCATACCCAGCGGCTCGTGGTCCTTTAGGTGTTGGCGCTCAAAAAAAATCAAGGAGATGAGAATCCATTTGCAAGTGGTCAACCGGTTAGATTCAAAATGGACTTGTTGTCCACTTGAGGGGGAGTGTTAGAGTCTATCCCACATCGGAAGTTGGATAGAAAAGTAATTTGTGTATAAGCTCTTGAGTTGAACTAAGTAATTGATTAGATTCAATGTTTTAATGTGGTTCAACCCAAGTGTCTTATTACCCAATCCAGTTATTCTTACCCCATCCTAAATTCTATCAATTCCCACATCTTTGGACATGGGGATGTGGATGCCTTGCTTTTTTTGTCTGATCTTTATTTACAAAAAGGGAGCTACCACTTATGCAGTCCCGAGGAATATATGTTTCTATAATGGGCGGTTTCTTCATTTTGAACATGTGATCTCATGGTCACATTGCTAGGAGAAGCAGGTTTTTCTACTGTTTGAATGCGCTTTTAAGGGCCTTGCCTTTGATATGTATAAATACCATTAGCTTTATGCAGTTGAAAAAAAGTTTCCCATTGTCTTTTCTATTCTCCTTCACGTGTTTCTCTTCCCAGAGTTCTTAGTTATTAAAGTTTAAATGGGAATCTTACATTTACATGCGCAGGGAACGCCAGTCACTGAGCGGGCTATTCCTGTTGCAATATTCAAAACTAATACTGGTATTTGTTTTTTCCCCCTTATTTTATATACTCGAGTCTGTTTTTCATTCTTCTGATAATAGTATTAAATTTTTTTATGAACTTGAAATTTCAGAAAATATGAAGCTTTATATAAAGAAGTGGTGCAAAATATCATCAGATTCAAAGACCAGCATCCGCTCTATTGTTGATTGGTCATACTATAAGCGCAGACTTTGTTCGATGATCCAAAAGAAAATTACTATTCCTGCTGCAATGCAGAAGGTACACCATACCTGTTTATGAATCTCCATTGGTGTTTTTATATGCTTCTCTCAAACCGAGTTTTTCGGTTTTTCTAAAGGTTGCGAATCCTGTCCCGAGGGTGCCTCATCCAAGTTGGCTACTTAAAAGGGTTAACGAAAAGGAAGAGAAGTTTCGTAGTCATCAACAAGAACTGGAAGACATGAATGGTTCAATGAGCAGAGAAAATAAGAGTGCAGGTGCAGATTTAGAGGACATGGGGAAAGCTGGAAAATCTTATGTGATTGCACCCAGGCCCATTGTTCATTCTCATGGAGTGAACAAAAGGGTAAAAGACTTAGTTGACAAGAGTGGTTAAGTAATGGTTGAGAGAACCTTACAAGTGATCTCTTTAGACAGATAATAATATGATTATGTGACAAAGGGAATGTAATGTTCTTTTGTTTGGTTGAAACGCTATTCATATTTACTACTCTATGAATTAGAAATGATCTCCCTAGTTTTGTGGGAAATTAGACATTTAAAGTGATAATTTTGGATTAATTGTACTTCGTAGAAATTAGGCCCATTAAAGCTTTGGGACGTATTGATTTTTAGGTTGAAAAAAATAGAGTTTTGGGTGTTGGTATAAACCGGACAGAGTGAGAGAAAAATGGGGGAAGTTAGCAAGACTAGCAAAAGTTTGAGAAAAAAAGGGAAAGAAATTTGGAAAAATTAAAGTTGGAAAAAAGAAAAAAATAGAATATATTGGGAATTAGAAAAATTAGGAAGAGTTGAAATACATTGAAAAGTGTTAGAAAGTGTTGAAAAAAATGAAAGGCGTTGGAATAAATATTATTCTCTCTGTCCATTTTAAATTGTCAGTTTTCCTTTTTTCTCCGTCCCAAAATAAGTTGTCTGTTTTTTGTTATTATAAACTTTTAAAAGTAAAATACCTAAACTATCTCTAAAATAAGTCACTCTTCTACACCTTATCTTCTCATTCATCGTCACCCTTCCTAAAAAGTAATGGTAATTTTGGAAAATCAAATCTATTTTTTCTCTTCCTTAAATATGCTCCAAAGTCAAAACGAGTGATTTAAAATGAGGCAAAGAGAGTGTCATTTTGACATTTCATGCTTTTATTAAGATAATTTGTGCATCATTTATTCCAATTTTATGTCTATTTTTACAATGTCAGTAGGTATTTTTGTAATTTTCATCACTAAAATTTAGAATGGTTTCCCAAAATGGTTCATTCCAATTGGTGTGAAATTTTTGAATTGAAAGGTTATTTTCAATCTAATATAACCGAGAAAAAGTGTAAAATTTAAATAAAGAGTTGTGCTTCATTCGTCACAGATTAAATTATCTGTTTACTATTCATGGAATTAAATTTTATTCGTTGTGTTTATCTATTTTCGTTTGTCATTTGATAAAATAATATATTCATGTTACAACTAGTTTTAAAAATCTTTTGTTCTAGTTTTGAAATATGTAATTTTTATTTTTTAATTTTATACCATTTTTCATATAACACGAATTGAGAATAAATTCAATCAAACAATCGAAAATCGAAACAGATTTAAAAAAACGTACGCATAAAGCTTGTATACAAATAGAATACTCTACTTTTTTTGTGAAATGAACTTTTTTGTTAATTCATAATGGCGTAAAACAAAAGAGTACAAATGGGCAACTTAGTAGTAGAATCAATTGCCCCAGCTAACAAGTGGGCAACTTGATTGGCTGATCTCTTATCAAAGGACCAAGATAAATCGAACAACTCTATCCAACAGTCAACAACATGCAATCCGGTGTAAAATAACATAAATCTTGATTTGCTGTTTGTAGAACTTGAAACAGTATATGATTATCCATCTCCACTGCAATTCGTTGTGTCACCCCAATGATATTGATCCAACTAAAAGCCTCCCGAAAATAAAACTAGTGGTGGCGTAACTATTTTATGAAATGATCCACGAGGACAGTAATATATAATTTAGTCCCGACAATCTCATAAATTTGACATTTCATGTTTTTATTAAAACAATTTGTCTGGAGGTTGAAGCTGCCCTTCAAGCGGATCCCAACCCTTTGGTAATCATCCACGGGATCTCCTCCTCATTAAATAGTGGAACATGGATTCAATCTTCATTCGAACCCAAGTTGCATATTGTCTTAAAAAGTAGATCGGGGATAAATTTTCATTCTTGTAACCCAAAGAAATGTGTTTCCTTATTTGATTTATCTAATGAAAAATCATTTATCTCCTTTTCTCGTTGTATGTTATTAATGTTGTTATCTTTGCACAAAGCATACAACATGATATATATATTTTCTCGTTATTATTATTAACATTATTATTAGTATTATTACTACTATTACTATTACAACTACTATTAATTTTATGATTATAATTATTATACTATTGTTATTATTATTATTATTAATACTATTAGTATTATTACTATTACTATTATTATTACTATCACTATTATGAATACTATTATTTTTATGTTTATTATTGCTATTTTTATTATTACAATTATTATTTGACATCTATACAAATTCTTGTCTGATCTAAATAAATCCAATTAAACAAAATAACCAATAGACAATAATATCACCAACACTTTTTTTAATCAAACTTTGATACTTTTTAATTGCAAACTAAACATAATTTTAATAAATAAATATTGTAAAAATTTGATACATCAAATCTATATTCTAAAATGAACCAAATTATACTGAATTCACAATATAATGAAATATACTCCATGTGTCCCAATTTAATTACCAATTTACTTTTCACATAGTCAAGCTTCATTCATTTTTTTTCTCTATTTTTATTAACCATTTGATAAAATAATGTAGACATATCACACTAGTTTTATAAATCTTTTGATATGATTTATAAACATGTAAATTTTAATTTTTAGTTGTACAACATTTTTTATATAAAATGATTAAAAATACTCCCTCCGTCCCATTTTATAACGTCTGTTTCGATTTACGATGTTTGACTGAAATTATTTTCAAATCATTTAATATGACAAATGGTATATAGTTAAGAAATAAAAATTACATACTCCGTATTAAAATACTACATCAAAAGATCTACAAAACTAATAGTGACAATACTATTTTATTTTATCAAATTGCTAATGAAAATACAGAAAGAGAGTAAAGTTTGACCTTGTAAATAGTGAACATGCATTATAATTTGGGACGAAGGGAGTAACTTTTATCAAATATCGTAAACCGAAATAGATAATTAAAATTGGGACGGAAGGAGTACTTTTTAACAATCTCTAGTCAAAGAGTATTATTGTAAAATTGTTAAAAAATGAAAGTTTTTCTAGAACGGATGTAGCTCATTATTTCCAGAGTTACCATTGATGGACCATTCTTTGACAAAAAAAAAGGAATTCAGTATCATCATTGAATCGTCAAGCGAGACAAGTTTTTTGTGAAATTTTTCTTTGGTGCCAAAAGTGGGGTGCACCCAATTAAGACTTTATTTATGCTATAAATACGGTTTCCACATCATGTTGATAAATGGTTAACCCTGAGATACAAGGCTATTACTATTACAACTACTATTAATTTTAGAGAAATTTACCTAAATAGTACAAAAACATAATGACTTTCCCAATATAGAATCATATGTTTTTATTTTCCAATGTAGGACTTTTGCTCATTATCATGTAGTCATTATCCAAGTAAATATCAATCATTACTGGACATTATTCTTACCACTAAATCATTATTAAGTCCTCTTTAGAGAATAAAAAAGTTTAAGTCTTACATTGGGAAAGACATTATGTTTTAGTCCTATTTAGTGCAAATTTTACTTAATTTTATGATTATAATTATTATACTATTAATAGTAATATTATTATTATTAATACTATTATTATTATTACTATTAGTATTATTATTACTATCACTATTATGAATACTATTATTTTTATCTTTATTATTAGTATTTTTATTATTACAATTATTATTTGACATCTATACAAATTCTTATCTGATCTAAATAAATCCAATTAAACAAAATAACCAATAGACAATAATATCACCAACACTTTTTTTAAATCAAACTTTGATACTTTTTAATTGCAAACTAAACATAATTTTAATAAATAAATATTGTAAAAATTTGATACATCAAATCTATATTCTAAAATGAACCGAATTATACTGAATTCACAATATAATGAAATAGTCCATGTGTCCCATATTAATTACCAATTTACTTTTCACATAGTCAAATGTCATTCATTTTCTTTCTCTATTTTCATTAATCATTTGATAAAATCTTGTAGACATATCACACTAATTTTGTACTACCTCCGTCCCATTTTATAACGCTTGTTTCGGTTTACGATGTTTAACTGAAATTATTTTCAAACCATTTTATATGACAAATGGTATAGAATTAAAAAATAAAAATTATATATTAAAAAACTACATCAAAAGATCTACAAAACTAATAGTGACAATAATATTTTATTTTATCAAATTGCTAACGAAAATAGAGAAAGAAAGTGAATGAAGTTTAACCCTGTAAATAGTAAACAAGCATTATAATTTGGGACGGAGGGAGTAAATCTTTTGATATAATTTATAAATATGTAAATTTTAATTTTTAGTTGTACAACATTTTTTATATAAAATGATTAAAAAATACTCCCTCCAACCCATTTTATAACACTTGTTTCGGTTTACGATGTTTGACTGAAATCATTTTCAAATCATTTTATATGACAAATGGTATATAGCTAAGAAATAAAAATTACATATTAAAATACTACATCAAAAGATCTACAAAACTAGTAGTGACAATACTACTTTATTTTATCAAATTGCTAACGAAAATAGAGAAAAAAAGTGAGTGAAGTTTGACCCTGTAAATAGTGAACATGCATTATAATATGAGACAGAGGGAGTAACTTTAATCAAATATCGTAAACCAAAATAGATAATTAAAATTGGGACGGAAGGAGTACTTTTTAACAATCTCTAGTCAAAGAGTATTATTGTAAAAATGTTAAAAAATGAAAGTTTTTCTGGAACGGATGTAGCTCTTTATTTCCAGTTACCATTGATGGACCATTCTTTGACAAAAAAAAGGAATTCAGTATCATCATTGAATCGTCAAGCGAGACAAGTTTTTTGTAAAATTTTTCTTTGGTGCCAAAAGTGGGGTGCACCCAATTAAGACTTTCTTTATGCTATAAATACGGTTTCCACATCATGCTGATAAATGGTTAACCCTGAGATAGAAGGCTATTTACACAAGCAAAGTTGCGGGCATTCACATATTAGGATGGAAACAAAGCTTAGCTGTAGTAATACATACATACATCAGATGAGCAAGTGTGCCTCCTTTCAGGCAATTTTGGCAGCTAACAGTTACATTACATAAGAGTAATGTAATATATAGTAATAATATACACACAAGACATATACATAATTCTCACATCATACAGCAGAAGGCAATGGTGGTGCATCAGTGCCATTTTCATTCATCAACGGCCTGAAACAGAAGTCAAGAGCAATGAATCATTACTAAGGGGATGCAACAGTTGATGAAACAATTCAGCTAGCCAGAGATAAAGAATACTAAAATTATGGCAAGGGTTGTAGAAATGAGGAAGCTGTGTAAGTCTAACCGGATGTGAAGGAGCAACGAGATAAAACTCAGTAATGACTGCAACTAACCCTCACCAGCAGTAGCAGAGCATTCCCCAACATCTGATTTTACATTTAAATCGTTGTTAATACAGGAAATAACATTATGAGATCCATCAACATGCTGTTCAAATGAAACGTCTCCGGTAAGATCTGCAGGCGAAGAGATACCTGAAACTGTCTCCTTGACAGTATCGGTTTTAGAAGCTTCAACGGCAATCTGAATCACCTAATCTCTAGATGTTCCATCAACTGGACTGATTTGGTGTTCATTACTTTCATGATCAGATGCATCGCCATTCCCATCAGAAATCTTATTTTGTAGTGTTTTAACTGCAAAAATGTCATGAGAAACGCTTTCCAACTGGGTTGGAGCTTCAGCAACTCCAGCATCAAGAATTGTGATCACAGTTTCAGGCTTCTGAGGAGTCTGCTTGATATCTACCTCATTATGAAATGCCACTGAAGTAGGTTCATGTTCATCACCTGACTCTGTTCTTTTCTTCTCTTGTGCTCTAACATCTTTCTCAGATGGATTTTCAGAAATTTCAGTTGCTGCTAAAGCTCCATCATCAACTGAGGCTTTCACCCCAACAATATTGGTTTCAATGTTCTCGGAGGCCATCTCAGAATCTAGTGTTGTTGCTAAAGCGGCACCTTCAACAGATGTATCATCCCTAACTATTTCTGTTTCTGCAATCTCTGATGGCCTCGTAGCAGTACAAAGTTCAGGTCCAGAAACATCAGTCTTCGCTGCTGCCACTGTTGTTAATGAACCATCTTCAACAGCAGTGTTCTTGATAACTGCTTCTGTGTCCACAATATCAAATATTTGCTTCAATTGAGATTTAGTTTCTGCATCCCGATCAACACCATGAAGTTCAGGTCCAATAATTTCAACAGCATTAGGATTAGAAGAAATTTCAAGCACTGTACATTCCACATATGGAGTCTCACTGTTCTTTGCCGCTACAACATCTTTAACTGAATTACAAACTTCCACAACATCTCGTTTTAAATTCTCAGATATCAGTTGTGTTTCTAATTCACTTTCTGATTTCCCTAATGCATTAATAGGTTGGGCAAATTGTACCCTACACAGATTCTCAGAGTTTTCATCTGTTGCTAGATATCTGGAGTCCACTGCAGTTGCCTGCGTGGCAGATTCGGATTCCACTTCCTCAAGGGTCTGCTTTGTCCCAGAACTCTCAGCAGTAGTATATTGTTCCGAGAATTTCTCTGGTACTGCAAAAGCAGACTCTTCCTTCGAGGGAATATCAGACGTATCTGCTTCTGTCACAACTCTAACTTCAAGTGTGTCCATGTTTCCAGAGATTGGTACTTCTTCCGATATCTTTTTAAATGCCCAAGGAGCAATACTCCTTTTAGATTCTCTTGATAATGGGTGTGACATATCTTCACTTAGCTCAGGCCTTAGCTGCTCCTGTACCTGAACAGAATCTACCCTGCATGGGCTCCCAGAATTCTCTCCTGGTGCAAGATCTTCAGGGTGTGAAATACCTTCACTTGAATCATAAACACCCCTCCCCGTTACATCCACTGCAATGTGTTCAGCCACAAAAGAAACTCTTGATCCAACAACTTGAATTTGATCAGAAATTACTAAATCACTTGTCTGCATTTGATTCTCTGCAAACAAATTAGAAATTTAGCACTTTAGCCATTTTAATATGCATCAATCAATGTGCAATACTGAGCTCAAATAGTTCATTGTTTCTTATAATGTTTACCTTCTTTTGTTTCAGATGTTTTGCTCTCAGGTTCATCCACTGCCAGGTCATCAATGGAAGAACTCACGGGCACCGCAATGCATTCAGCAATTTCAGATTGGTCATCATCACGTGATTCAACTGCAATGCATTCAGCAATTCCAAATTGGTCAGATTCCACAGTTTCTCTCACAATCTGTTCTGGCTTATGTTCAAATGATGCTGTAATACAAGATGGAGAAGCATTATATGAATCAGCTGCATCATTAAGAACACTTCCTATGTTTTCCTTCACAACCTGATGTTCTGTATGCCCTTTCAATGTGTCAGTAACAATACACTGCTCTGATGAATTAGCTTCAGAATTCACCAAATATGAATTCTTCTTCTCAACCTCACCAACCAAATCTTTGTCAGACTCACAAAGAGGAACCAGTTTTGTATGGTCACCACTTTCAGAGGGTTGGTCAGCCAATGATTGACATACACTAGTTTGCAAATTTTGACGATGCTGAGATCCAATTATTTCTGTGTTACAATTTTCAATCTCCGGAGATTCCACTGAATGACACCTTGCAGAAGATGATGTTGCACATTCAGCAACAGTAACTTCCATTCCTGATTGAAATTGACTGACATGCAAAAATGAACATAGTGGCAACTCATTCACATCAGGGTTCACTACACCTTTAGAAACATCATTTTTCAGTTTATGAGTTTGTGCATCAACATCATTGTCAAACTTGTCACAGAGGGAAACGGTAATTTGCCTCTCTGACTGCAAATTTGTGGCTGGCACGTTTGGAGTTTGATCCTTCTCAGTGCCACTTGAATCATTGGTGAAATCCCTCATTGCCTCTCCTACATCAAACTTCCTCGAAGATTGAATTTCCAAATCTGTGACTGGAAAAACACTTCTAAGAACATCTGTCTCGGAGGATGGTGATGCGAAGGAATTCATGCAATCTGGATTGTCAATCACCTTTGTCTTTGAAATAGAAGTCACCTCTAGAGCAGGATCTTCTTTGCACAGCTCTTTCCTGACAGATTTATTAGGATTATTCTCGTCCTCGATGACTAGACATTTTGAAACAATGGTATTATTTGTAGAAGGTTCATCACTCTCTAGTTTGCTAATATCAAGAGTCCCACCTGTAGCAGTCACATTGCCTCCACGAAATTCCTTAAACCCTTTCTTATCTAGATCATCAACCCTAACTTCTGCATGCACTGGAGCCGAAAAAAGAGATGTCAACTTCTCCATCTTACTAGCCTGATTAGAAGAATGTGAACAGAAGGTAGTGCTAGCCCCTTCTTCAATACTTTGACTCTCATCAGATCTGTTCTCCACAAATGAGGGTTTGGATGAGGCATCCTTCCCCATTGCCTCAGAACTGTCTAGCTCAACTTCATGAGATTTTGGACTTTCAATTTTCTTCAGAGCTCCAAGTGCAACTTCTTTCATCGGTGCAGAATCTTGCTTTATTTCAACACATTGAACAGCAATTAAAGAGCATTGAAATGGCACTGTAGCTGACTCTGAAGTGATATCGTTCCCGGGCGCATTGCTACAATCATCACCTGCAACATCACGAATAGAAGTCCAAACTGTCAGAACTTCATAGGGCCATAATAACTTCAGTATAAATAAGTGTGAAGTAAAAACGGAAGTATAAATTTACCTCTAAACTTCTCATCTGTTTGGCTTTGTGATACCTGAGACCCTGAATAGAGCTCTCTTCTTGAACTGATATTGTCATCCACACTGGCCACATTTAATTCTTGACCGGTTGGGCTAATACCGGCATCAGATGGATATGATGTGAAGGCCCTTTGTTGTTCAACTTCACTATTACAGCTAGGATTATAGATTTCTTGACTACGACAATCTTCAGTGATCTCAGATGAAACTGGTTTGAGCAAATTTTTCTGCAACAAAACTTCATTTTCATGCTTGCTTCTCGTGGTGGGCTTCCTCCCAACAGATATCCTTGACTTCTTAGGTGGGGGTTCACTTACTTCTAAAGTCTGATCGGCCGGTGCTTCCGAACCAAGAGTTGTAACCAAATCCTGTCCCTTTCCCCTACGCCTAGGTGCCTCCCCTCGCGTCTGAGGTTTGCGCCCCCGTCCTCTACCTTGCTTGGCAGTAGAGATAGGACCAGAAATGCTAGAACCTGTATTCAGTAAAGGAATAAATGCTGTTGGTGCAGAAGTAAGAGTGAGCTGATTACCACAGTCACGATCTCCAACATTCTTTATGGTGGAAGACTTATCTAAAGAAGAATGATCAACAACTGAGGGAGATAACGGAATTGATGCTCTCTCTAAACCAGTTTTAAATTTGTTTTCGGCAGGGGGGGACAAGATAACTGGAACAGTTGAATATGAACCAGAAACTTTACTTCCATGAGATAAAACAACAGCAGGTGATACTGAGCTTTCAACCTTTCCAGCCGATGTAAGACAATGTGAAACAGTGATCAACTCTTTGCTTGCTGAAGATGGTGCAACAGTAAGAGCTGACACAACAGTTGGTTCTTTTATAGCAGATACAGGCAGATTAGGTGTTGCCGAACTAGGTCCCTTAGTAGTTTCCTTTTCAATGCTCAAATGGGGGAAAAGATCTTGATCATTAGTTCTAGAGGGACTCCTAGAAATTGCTATTGCTTGCGTCACATTCTCAGGATTGCCTGAAAATACAGATGCACTTTGTATTATTCTATTCTGCTTTTTTCCCCTCCTCAGTGCATCTTCAATCTGAGATATAGGAGCAGAAATGTTTGAGTCTGTATTCGTTAAAGGCATTGATGTTGTTGGTTTAGAAGTAAGACCTAGCTGATAATCACAATCTTGCTCACCAACATTCCCCGTGGTGGTACATTTATCTAAAGAAGCATGATCAAGAACTGGAGGAGAGAAAGGAATAGGTGCACTCTCTGAACCTGTTCTATAAAAACTTTCTGCTGGGGTGCACAAAACAACTGGAACAGTTGAATATGAACCTGATATTTTATTTTGAGGAGATGAAACAACAGAAGGTGAAATTGAGATTTCATCCTTTCCGGCTGAAGCTGACGCAAGAGCAGGTGAAACAGTAATTAACTCTTTACTTGCTGAAGATGGCGCAGCAGGAAGAGCTGAGACAATAGTTAATTCCTTGCTAGCAGATGCAGGCAGAGCAGGTACTACTGAACTTGGTACCTTAGCGTCTTCATTCTCAATGGTAACATGGGGATCAAGATCTTGATCATTAGTTCTGGAAGAACTAGAAACCGTTATTGCTTGTGTTACATTCTCAGAATTGCTGGGACAAATTGATACACCTTGTCCTATTGTTTTCTGCTTTTTCCCACGCCCCCTTGATACTTCTCCAATTTGAGATTTACGTCCTCTCCCTTGACCACGTCCCCTGCCCCGACCAGGTGTAGGATTCCCGAGGGGGTTTGGCTGAGAGACAGGAACAGGAAGGGAGAGAGACTGGGGATTAGGGATAATGTTTGTAGAACTCTGCTGGATGTTTCCAGGCACACCTTCAACAGAAGAACTAGGGTCAGGATGAGAAGCAAGACTTACATGACAGCTAGAAATATTCTGCATATGGGACGCTGTAATCAATGAATCAGCTTCCTTAATGCCATGAGGCGTGATAGGTGATGAAGAAACATTAGATACTGTTGATGTTCTTTTTGGTCTCCCACGTCCCCTCTTAGTAGGTGGCGTAGCGTCCTTGTCGTGTGGAGCAATAGGCACTAAAGCTTGTTGTGAAGGCTGGGGAAATGTATTGTGCTGAGTAACGGGAGCTGGAGTTTGTTGTGAAGGTTGAAGCAATGGGTCGGGTTGAGCAATAGGCACTGGGGTTTGTTGCGAAGCATGGTGCGATATGCTGTGTTGAGCAATGGGAACTGGAGTTTGGTATGAAGGCTGGGATAACGTGCTGTGTTGAACAATGGCTACTGGAATTTGTTGTGATGGCCGCAGCAATGTGTTGTATTGAGCAACAGGCACTGGAGTATTTTGTGAAGGCTGGAGGAAAGTGCTGTGTTGACCCATGGGTACTGGAGTTTGTTGTGAAGGCTGGATCAAAGTGTTGTGTTGAGCAATAGGCAATGAAGTTTGTTGCGAATGCAGGAGCAATGTGCTCTGTTGAGCAAGAGGAACTGGAGTTTGCTGTGAAGGCTGGAGCAATGTGCTGTGTTGAGCAATAGGCAATGGAGCTTGTTCGGAAGGCTGGAGCGATGTTAAAACTTTCCCTTCAGCATTACTCATAGCAGAGCCACCACCTGTTGACAAATTATTTTCTGATACTTCATATTTCACAACAGGGGATTCCGGAGATTCAACAAGACACATCTTTTCAAATTCCTCCTCTGTCCATTGCTCTTCATAGGACCTCACCTTGGAATCAAGAAAAAAAACATTAATGGGTAATAAGTCCACACTTTGAATGAATTTAAAACAAATTACTGTATAAAACTTGGCAAAAAGAAATGGTACTGTGCTTCCCACAATAAGTCCAGGACAGAAGCAACCAATTTATAAGTCTTTAATGGACTTCCAACTAAAGATGAGCAAATCCTACGCATTAATTTGTATGGATATAGTGGCAAATCCAAATAAAATCTATCAGTCTCCAATGGACTTCCGACTAAAGATGAGCATATCCTATAGCATTAGCTCCCATAAAAGTAGAACCAAAACCAAATAAAAGAAGATTTAGAAACAAATTGCATGATCTGTCACTTAGCTCCTTCCATGTTGAAAATTATGAAAATACTTGGGTTTAAAACACTTCAAACAACGCTTGAATTTGGGGTTTAGTTTACATAAATGAGTACTTATGGGCTTAAAAGAGGATGCTGTGAAACATGAAGGACCGGGAACAAATTTAAAGGACAAACCCTAAAGATATGAGGTGGCATTTCATTTGTTCATAGGATATGGTTCCCTAGAAGGTATAATTAAACCAACCTCTCTAGCTCTTTTGCCGCGTCCATAATGTTGTGTGTCTAGACCTCCAAGAGAATGGCTCTTCCGCTTTATCCCAGTGCTAGGTACAGCAGATGGAGACTCAGAAATTTTCATCGCCTTATAAAATGGCTTTAACTCTTCCTCTGTAACAAGCCGTGAAGGCAAAGGGGAAACAGACTCAGAACTTTCTGCCCCCTTTTCTGAACAAACTTTCTTCCAAGCTATCTGAAATATCAATTGTCAATGAGGAATTGGATTATATGAGGAAAACATAGTCCCAGGATGATCACAAGTATTTCAGTATGTACCATCTCTTCTTCTTGCCTCTTTCTGTCAACAGATTCGAACACATCAATTTCTGACTCACTAAGCAGAGAGAAGGGGAAGAGTAAATATATAAGCACTCTCATAAATTACATGCAATGATCAAAATTGAGTGTCAAACATCCCAGAATTGGATGCAGATTTTTTTTGGATAAGTGATAAAGTTGTGTTAGAAAAAGAGAGAAAGGGAAAAGTGCAATCAACTAGCAAGTAGCAAGTGATGGCAATGCAACGATAGACCTAGTCTAATCCCAACTGCGTTTGGGTCTGAGGGGTCAAAAGATGTATACAGCCTTGCCTTGTAAAATCAGAGAGGCTGTTGCCATAGACCCTTGATGCATTGCCGCATTTTCTTCCCAAAACAAGAAGCAAGGGAAGTTAAATTTGCAAGAAACACCAACAACAATTTTTTAAAGTGAAAACAACACAAAAGCGACAAACTATCATCATCATCATTATGTTTAATATGTTGTTGTTGTTGTTGTTGTTTCTCCCTCTGTCCAGAGTATTCGTACAGTATTCCGTTTTGGTCATCCCACAATACTAGTCTACTTATCTTTGTTGGTTTAAAAAAATTAAATAAAATGTCTATGTTACCCTCATCATTTATTCACGCCCATCCAACCCATTTACTCCCTACTATCCTACTCTCTCTATCATTTACACCCACCAGCTGTGTTTCCACTCTCGCCCAATTATTCTAGATCCATCTCTTCACTTTCTTCTTTCTCCTCAATCTAAACCCTGAATCTGAAAATGGGTTTGCACCCGGTGTCTTCTCTAGTGATTCACCTCATTCATCACTGACTGGTGCGAGCACGGCCAAACAAATCAGACCAATCCAAAATGGTATCAAAAGTGGTAGCTTGAATCGGATATAGCCATTCAATTCACGTGGCATTCTACACCTCTCAGAGGATCTGATATCAGAAAATCAGAAACCGAATTCGAGTTCTCAAAACATTTTGGGTTCTTCTTGCTCATTTCCTCCGCACTCACTCCTTCACTCCTATCAGTCCATATTCCATAGTCTCTCCCCTTTCTTACTTCCCTTCTCTGGTCCATACTGAAATTCCCTTTTTGACTATTTCTTCTTCTCTGTTTGATTGTTTTTTACTTAAAATCTTTAAGTTTCAAATTTTAATCAATGCTCAACAATTCGTCCTTATTTCAAAAAAAAAATCTATCATATAAAACAAAAAAAACTAGAAAAGAACTCCAATTACTCCTCCATCGTAGATAATGGACTGGGGATGGGGCTGGATAGAAATGGATACGGCAGGGGATGCTGGTAGTTTAGGGGTAATTTCTTCATTGTTCCCCTCACCTTGGTTTTTGTGCCAAAACAAAACCGGACAAATACCCCTGGATGGAGGGAGTATTATTATTATTGTTGTTGTTGTTGTTGTTGTCGTTGTTGTTGTTGTTGTTGCAGCTGTTTTTGTTGGTGGTGGTGGTGGTGGTGGTTGATAGAGTGCCCACATATGTAGTTATTTTATGTTATTAATATTTATGGTAAAGTCCGTTAGGATTATTGTTTATCAGGTCAAATGTTTTATTTTGTACATATGTTAGTTACTTAGTAAATAGTGTGTAAGTGGGCTTAAAATCTAGGAGTAGTTGCTAAGTAATGTGGTAGGGAACCTAAAGTCTAGGAATAGTTACTAAGTAGTGTGGCAGTGGGCCTAAATTATAGGGATTGGTAGTTATTTGGCTTTTATAAATATTGAGGTTCATTATTTGTAAAACTATCCAGAAAGTAATATAATATTTATTATTGGAGATTCTCCTTGGCTTTATAACTTATATGAGTTTAAGATTCTTGCTCATATTCTGATAAATATTTCCCTTCATCTTTATTATTTTATGAATTTAGATTCTGATTTCATAATTTGATAAAGAATATCCTTGATTTATTTTCCCCACCAATCTTGAGTTCTATCATTTGGTATTGGAGCCATAAGATCTTTATGGGTTCCTTCTGGAAAAATTCAGTTTCTCCTTTTTCCCCATACAATTTTTCATCCCTCAGTTATTCTCCTCATGAAGTACAGCAATTGCTTTACATTGTAGCTCGCCTTGATGTCATTAATTCCAAACAGGCAGCATCTCAAGTTCAAGGTACAGCTGTTAACTATGTGACACCCTTCAAAAGAATCTCATCCGGTAAATTCCATCTAAAGGTGAAAGGAAAAAAATTCAAAAACAGAAGGGGAGGATTGCATTCGTTTGTAAGCCCAAACCTAATTCCTTTGCAGCCAACGACTTCAATTCCTTTTGTCTAACAAGTAATTTCCTGCATGAGGACAAGAGAATTTCAGTTGCAACTCTAAGTTGGCCCCTGATTGTGAATGCAATGGTGTCGTCCTCACATTGCCCTTCCATGAATCTGACTAGAGCATCTCTCTTGGAGAGCAATTGGCAATGGCAATCCGAGTCAGGCTGTTCCAATATGAAGAAATGATTAATATTGGTTGCCACTATCAAACCTCTTCATTCTCACCAACAGAATTGGCTATAAAAGGAGTCATGATTGTTATGCCAAGTACTGATGAGAATGCCTCCAATTTGGGGTTAGAAAACTCTTATATACGTGTCAACACCATCCTGGGAAATTCTATATCATCACCGATAAAGCTTCATGAACTCTTGGATAGTGGCGTCATGCATCGATTTACCCTTGAAGTTGTTATGTCATATTTGGACCCTTTTGTTCAAAGCACCACTGCTTTCATTGGAGTTTTTCATTATATTGTCTTCCTACCACCTCTGCCGAAACCTCCAGATATACAAAGAAGCTGTCTAGATTTTTCCTTGAGGACAAGGCAAATTTTGAAGGAGGGGATAATGATAGAGTGCCCACATATGCACTTATTTTATGTAATTAATATTTATGGTAAAGTCCGTTAGGATTATTGTTTATTAGGTCAAATGTTTTATTTTATATACATGTTAGTTACTTAGTAAATAGTGTGTAAGTGGGCCTAAAGTCTAGAAGTAGTTCTAAGTAATGTGGTAGTGAACCTAAAGTCTAGGAATAGTTACTAAATAGTGTGGTAGTGGGCCTAAATTATAGGGATTGGTAGGTATTTGGCTTCTATAAATATTGAGGTTCATTATTTTTAAAACTATCCAGAAAGTAATTCAATATTTATTATTGGAGATTCTCCTTGGCTTTATTACTTTATGAGTTTAAGATTCTTACTCATATTCTGATAAAGATTTCCCTGCATCTTTATTATTTTATGAAAATAGATTCTGATTTCATAATTTGATAAAGACTATCATTCATTTATTTTCCCCACCAATCTGGAGTTCTATCAGTGGTGTTGTTGTGGTGGTTGTTGTTAATATTATTAGTATCATTATAAATTATTACTATCATTACTCCGGTTGGCCGGTTAAGAAAATCCACATCCGTCAACTGCATGCAGCATAGATGCGAATGCTAAGGTGGATGTGTGGGCAGACAAGATTGGATATGATCCGGAATGAGCTTATTCAGAGGCGGTTGGGAGTGGCACCGGCAGAGGATAAGCTACGAGAGGTTAGGTTGAGATTGTTTGGTCATGTAAAAAGGTGTGCACCTGAGGTGCGGAGATGCGAGAGGCTTTCGATAGTTCGTGCGTTTGGGGAAGGATTAGACCTAGGAAGAATTCGAAAGAGGTGGTTAGGCAAGACTAAGGACACCTCGCTCTTACCGAGGATATAACCTTAGATAAGGACGTCTGGAAATCAATGAATAGGGTAGCTATATAGTCGTTTAGTCTAGGGTGCTAGTTTTGTTCGTGTGTTGTTGGCTTGACTTATTTCTCCTTTCGGTTTCCTGTGCACTTCATGCCTTATCGCTTTTTCTCTTTTAGTGTACTCTGTATTCTTGTCATGCTATTTGCTCTCTGTGCTGCTCGAGCAGGGGGTCTCTTTGAAACAGCTTCTCTACTTTTTGTAGGGGTAAGGTCTGCGTACACATACCCTCCATAGACCCAACTTTTGTGGGATTCTACTTGGTTGTTATTGTTGTTGTACTCCAAACTTATTTTGGGGGGAGAGGGTTCATATCGCATCAACTGTTCACCTGCGTGCAATAAGATCATTTAGTGCATCATCATCCAGCACGGGTGCAGCTTCTTCCTTCTTGCTTTCCCGCAGGAGGGACTCCAGATATTCTCTTCTATCCTCCGCACTACAACATAATATTGAAATTATTGAAGGTGCAATTAGCCAATGATAAGATATTAGGCTTAAACTATCCTTCAATAGACCTACCTTGTGTTATTGTCAAAAAAACCTGCAGTAATGCTCTGATTAGCGACACCAAGTTTGTGCTCTGCAGCAGCTCTTACTTGTTCCTCAACAGTTTGCACCTAAAGAAAAGACAGAAGGATAACACCTTACAAGTGCAACTTTTGAAAGTTAGATAGGTACAACAAAAATTGAATGAATTCAGCAAGAGAGAGCAGTCTTGACTCTTTTGGGCCACATTACCAAAAAGACAGGAACGAATGCTAATAATTTAATTTCATATGTAAAATACCAGGAAAATCAACAAAAGGTGACAATGTTTGATATTATCAACCACAGCCAACCTCTAGAAACATCCTATGGAAAAAGAAAAAAACTAAAAAATAAGAATCCTAGGCAAAAGTACAAGCACTTTCAAATTTTAAAAACTTCATGTAATTAACAACAAATGTCCAAGCAACAACATTTTAGAAATCCTTGACTTTGACATGCCATAATGAGTTAAGATAGCAATTGATGGAAAAATTCCAACTAAAATTAATAATAATTAAAAACAATGTTAAACAAAGTACGTGGAAATTTACTTGGTCGAGGTTATTGAAATGTAACACAGTGAAAGGATAAGAACTTCCTTCTTCCAGAAAAGAGTCCTATATAACACTCTCTTTGTCCAACATAAAGGTTTCACAATGGAATTGGCATGGTTATTAAGAAAGGTGAAATTATGTGGTTGAAAGTGGGGCAAGGGAGAAAAAATGAGACAATTTTTTCCCATAAGTGGAAAGTGGCAACTTTTTCTTGGGATAGACGAGATAGAAATGTGAAACCTTTTTATGGGTCTGCGGAAACATTATTATCGTCTCAAACCCAGAATTCAAAAATATAAGTAGAATCCATGATTATACCAGTTGAGACCTGTATTTTACCAGAACAATTGTACCTAGGCAAGCATGACTTTTTTGGGCCAGGGTAGTATGAACTAGCTTGAATATCAATCATCAATAATTAATGACTACCTTCAGACCACTGAAATGAAAATATTGATCCCAAATCTAATTTGAGGGTAGGCTAAATGTACATACCGTTTCTAATCGAAGAACAAGCACATCCTTCTTTTGCCCTATCCTATGAGCTCTTGCCTGTGCTTGCAAATCGACCTGAGAAACAAAGATGAAATGACTAATAAGAAAGATACTCTAAGTAGGATTCCATGAAACTTGTAAAGAGCATTTGACATCATTGCCTGTGGATTCCAATCTGTGTCAAAAATTATCACTGTATCAGCAGCCTGAAGATTCACTCCAACACCCCCAGCCCGGATACTGGAACAAACTTATTGTTAGTCAGGTTATAAATAGTTAGGCAAGAAAAACAAAGGAAATATTCCATATATGCCTAAAAGGTTGAAGGATTGCACTTTTCCACAGCCACAAATTACCAAATGTATTCATCTGAACAATTCACAAACCTTCCACTTAGAACACTTGACATAGGAGCAACATAAAAGTACAAAACTTTTTTGGCAGAAAAGGTATGGTAGTAAAAACATCTAAGACGATAATATGTTGTGTTATCTAGTTTTGTAAAATTCATTCTCAAGGAAAAGCAGATATTTCATTGAGGTTATTCCAACTAAAAATGACATTCCACTGAAGGAACTTAGTTCTGGCCCAATTTGTGCATTCTATAATACTCGTATTTCTTATCAGTATGTTAAATGTGAATCTTGCCATTCGTAATATCAAAACAATCACCGAAGTGGGTCGAAATCTACTTAATGAAGTTCATAAATGAATGAGTCTGAATATTAGATAAGATAACTACCTTAGCAAAAATATAAAATATGGAGAGTTTGGATCATTGAACTTTTCAATCAGGCCTCCTCGATCACCCCCGGATGTATGCCCATCCAAGCGAAGATATTTATACTGTTTCCAGTAGAGATACTCCTCCAACACATCAAGAAGTCGTGTCATTGTTGAGAACAGCAAGATCTGGAAATGAATAAATCTCAATAACCAGAAATGGATTCAACCACCTTTACTGCTTAAGGAAAATAAAACAACACAAGCCAGCTTGTTTTCATAGTGAAAACAAAAAAGCAACATTACTGAGGATTGGCAATTTCAGGTATGTAGGTAGTACAAACATTTTTATAGTTTAAAATCAAAAGAAAATAATATATGCTTACAAGCACCAAAATTCATTCAAGTTAGGCATGTAACTGTGCAAGTATGAGTATAATGGTCAATAATCTCCACTAGCACCTCAAACTACTACATACCCGATGTTCGGTGGCCTTAAGCTTTGGCAGTAATCTATCTAGGACCTCAAGCTTCCCACATAGTCTCACCACAGATGGCAAATAATGTTTTGGAATGAAATCATGAACCTGACATCACGAATATGTTCAAGAGAATTCAGCAAAAGATTGTGGTAGCTCCAAACTTTTTCATGCATATCTATGCAAGAATGAACAGAAAGAAAGCCAAGAAAAACATAATGGTAACCTTATAAAAATAGTGCTAGTCCAAACAAGACCATTCTTTAACATAATTTGCATGAACATATATGTGCTATTGTTTGGTCATGTCTGTACTAGCACCCTACCCTGCACCCAACCAATGAACAGTATTTTAACCCATGAACAGTTTGAGAAAAGTAAAAAAAATAGAAAAACATAGGAGAATAAGTTAGAGATGTACCTCATCTACATGAAGCTGACTAAGATATGGATGATTGCATATGTTGCGGAGCTCCATCACTGAATTGTGAATAGATCGAGCCTAATAAAGAAGGGAAATTCAAAGAAATGAAGGAAAAACAAAAGACTGAATGAGTTGATCAAATAGATTTGTATGCACATGCAAGACTATCTTGTACATAAAAATACATTCCCCATATTACATAGCAAAGTCCCCTTTCACGCACATTTAATAAACTCAACACCTGCTACTAAAACAATTTCCACTAGAAGGCCACATGCACAAAACCCAGAGGTATACTACTTAATTATTTCCCAAAATTACATCACATTTACCCTGTTAAACCTGTAAAGCTTTTCCAACATGATGATTTGTATAACAAAGGGAGTACAACAAAAGCACTAAGTAAATCGACAATGACTCATTTAAATAATACGGAGTATTTTATTCTTCTGCCGTCCAAGAAAGATCATCCCATACACTTCACTCACTCTCTATGCTTATTTTCACAACTCATTTTATAAAATAATATAGTCAGGCTGGTTTAGTAGAACTTTTTATGTAGTTTTTACTATACAAATTTATTTTTTAGTTTTACACCTACAATCAAATAAATTGAATTGAAAATATAGTAGGTCAAGCCTCATAACGCGTAATGGGAAGATCTTTCCCGGACGGAAGGAGTAATCAATAATAACACAAACAGGTGGCAATAAAATGAGAAACCAACTATTACATGAGGTGTAAAAGCTAAGAATTTTTTTGAAATAATAAAGTTGAAGAAGTAACCTTTGAAGCTCCAATTGCACCAAGATTGTCTTCTACCCTCCTCATCAACAATTTTTGATATGCAGAAGCCTCGCACCTAACAAGTCTTTCTATCTTCTCAGGCAATTCATTCTCAACCTATTATAACCATTTGCGAAGGAAACACTATCAGCACAAGAGAATACATAAACAAACTCTCCGTTAAAACTTTAAACTGTCACTCGAGAAATCTGTGCATCGTGCATACACTTCACATAATTATTTAACATGTAAAACAACATAATGAACAGAAGCATACTTGCAAAATGGTTGTTGTTAAGCGTATTGGTGAAACCATCGAAGTGTATGGCATTCTTGACATACTGATAAGAATATGAATTTTGTTCAAAGTGCCAATTTCTTGAATGGGGATTTTGAGGTTGACTAAATTAATGCAGATTCACGCACTTAGGACAAAAATATCACATGATCTCGTTGATAAAAAAATTGAAGTAATCTAAATGATTTCTTATGAGTATGATTCCTCATTCTGGTAGGGTGACTTTGAATTTCTGATATTCTAGCAGTCACTACAGTTAAAAATGGGGACAATTTTTTAATATGGCTTCTAATACAAGCTCTTCATCACTTCATGGGACCATTAAAAAAAGTGGAAGCTTGTTTGGTAAAAACTCCCAATGAAAATTCTTAAAACTCATATGGTTGGTGTTGCACGATATCCTACCCAATCGAGTCTCCTTGGCTTAATAAAAAATTCATAGCAAATGATCAATGCCAGAGATGTGGGAGGTTTGAGGAATCTGTTCTTCATGGCTTGGGGATGTGTTCTGCTGCAAGACTGACCCAGATACGAGGTTTGGGATTGGCAACAAAAGATGCCGATCATAAGCAATTGTTGTCTTTTATTCAGAGGTCAGCAAACCAAGTTGCCCATAAGGTAGTTCAAGATGCTTTTTCTTAGCCTGATTTCTTGGAGAGTTGGAGCGCGGGTTGAGAATCCACCTCCATTTATTCATGATGTTTCAAACTACGATTGTAATAATAATCAAGCTATGCATATGTTTCTTAAATAAAAATCTCATGTATTTTTAAAGCACTATTAGTACACATTGCTTATGGAACAAAAAGAGTCATTACAAAAACAAACCTAATACAATCCTACAAAAAGGGGTCAGGGTGAGTGTACGCAAACCTAAGCCTACCAATCCCCTACCTGGAGAATAATAAGGTTGTTTCCAATACACTCTGGCTTGAAACACAAAATAACTCAGGAAAATATGGAACAGAAAAATAACCAAGCACACACCAAACTATAACAAACACAGCAACTCATACACAAGGGTAGACCACTTCCCAAGGCCAAGCCTATCATCCTAATCCTCAAGTCTAGACCTGTGCAAACAAGGGTCGGCCCGCCCAGCCCGCCCAGCCCGCCCAGCCCGCCCTTTAAAAATGCGGATATGGACAACCCTTAATATCCAAATGGGCGGGCCGGCCCAAGCCCGAATTGTATATGGGCGGATCTGGAAGTTACTTTTAGCCCATCTGCCAACAGGCCCGCCCATATTCATCAAATATATTTACTTTATTATTAATTACTTAGCCAATACAAATTTTAAAATTTTCTATAATTCATGTATAATAGTTTAATTCACTCACCAAAATAACTTTTGTTTTTGACCTAAGGGTTCCGCTAGTCAACCCCCTTTTTCCGTCCAACCCAACCCCAAACATCCGAAAGTATTTTATTTCCTTTTGATATCCAAAATAAAGTCTCTTCTTTTTATTTTAATCCCTGGTCACAATAGGAAACCAAAACAGCCCCATTCATCTTCCAACATCCACCCAACATGGTCCCTACTATGTTCCCTAGTACAACCCACTAAACAACCATAAAAGCCCAGGAGAAACATGGTACTTTCTTAACCCTTTAACCACCAAATAAATCCTCATATATGCAGCCAAAGTACTACACATTATCCTTTCCCATTGTCCCCCTAGTTGGCTGAATACATTCCCCAAAATCAGCCCAAAAGAAGGCCATTCATTCCCCCTGGTTTGCTTTTCATTGGAGGCACTACAACCACACCCATCCCTGATTTTATTCCAATAAAAGGACCTCAAAACATGTCTGATATTTTAGGGCTTTGATAGAGGATGTTTCTAGGAAGTTTCCTTATGTCTACATTCAATGTATTGTGTATTTCTTCCCCCTTCCCCCTGCCTATATAATCAGGCCCTATGGCCATTGTAAACACATCTTTGAATATTGAAAAACCTTTTACTCTTTGAGTATTCATAAAATAGTGTGATTCTATTTTAGCCAAATTCCTAATTCTATATCTTAAGAGTGGTTATCTTAAGTGTGAGTTTTAGGTTCTAGATATTTGATTAAGTGTGTCATATCTTAATTAAATTCTAGATTCGAACCCCAAGTTAAGATAAGGGTGTGTAATATCTCTTAACACCAACTTGATTTTATCCATCATTATTTTCTATCCATTTCTTTTCCCACCATTTCTATCCTTAATCCCCTTTCTTTCCTCAAATTAAAAATACCAAAAGAACTCCTTCATCATCCCCATATCTTTCCAAGCCATTTCCCCACAAAACATCCTTCTTCCTGCCCGGAATTCTGCCCAATAATCGATTATCTTGATTGACAATCGATTATCCGTCATCGTTGAAACACCTGCAGCCTTCAATAATCGACTGTCGCCTCTGACAATCGATTATCAGTCCTCATTTGAAACACCCGCAGCCCTCAGAAATCGATTATCATAGTCTGATAATCGACTATCAGCACTCCCTGAAAATTCTGGGAGTTTCTCATGAGAAACCGAACCCCTTGACAATCGATTACCCAACCTGGACAATCGATTATCCTCCAATCCTGCAAATTAAAGAGCCTTGCCCTCAAGTCCGAGCTTAATACCGATAAACCCCGAGCGTAGATATAACACAAATTCTCATAAATTTCAAATTTTATATTAAATACAGCATCAACTTGCTTCCTCTTAGCTCCCACATCACTACCAAGAATTTTATCAATCATTCAAGTGTACATTTGACTTTCTCCTCAAGCTTGTTCTCTTCAACTTATACTTATTGCTTATTCTTATTTGAATTAGATCACACGAGTTCAGATGACCAACACTTCATCACGAACGAATACAAATCTCATTCATAATACTACAACTTTTTTTCCAGATTATTTTCCTGTTCTAGATATCCCTTCAACATAGGTCATCAAAAATATCTCCGAGACCCACCAAAGTACGAATGCCAGAATATTTCATAAAACAGATTCCTATTCAAAGACTGCATAATCTCATGTATAACCTCACACTAACCCGTCAATTTGGGACCCAAATTTGAGATTATCAGTAAAGACAAAGAGAACAAGCTCTTAATTTTGTATCATGATATACTGCCAAAGGATCACAATATTTAATTATATTATGTGTGTATTTTATGGTGTTATACATTTAAAAAAATCATAGAAAGAATACTATAGTGGGGGTAAGAGGATTCCCAGCTAATTATTCAGTCATAATCACTCGATTAATCATATTTGTCTCACATATCAAAAGTTTAATCCTTCACTTGTGATACCCTGATCGGAATGGAGAAGTGTACTAAACAAGATAGTGCAATAAAAGATCTGTCAGTAGCTGAAGACTTATTAGCAGACATGAATCAAACTGTGAGCCTCCAATCGCGCATACCTTGTGTTTCAATCTTCTGAGCACAAATGGACGCAGAACTTGGTGTAGGCGATTTATGATTAAGAGGTTTTCCTCCTCAGAGAGTAAAGCCTAATCAAATCATAATAAATATTATGAATCTGATAAATCCACACATAAGGTCAACATTGCCAGCACTTGAAGCAACAACATTTAGTAGGCTTACTTCATCAGAAGAGTTGTCGCCATTGCTCTCAAATGGTTTGTTGAACCACTGAGAGAAATCTTCTGAAGAGTTGAAAATATTTGGCAAAAGAAAATTGAGAAGTGCCCATAGCTCCTCAAGATTGTTCTACAAAAAAATCCGAGAAGTAATGTTCATAATGACACGGGGAGAAGAGTATCTATTCGACACAAATCATAGCTTACAAGTATACCTGTAAAGGTGTTCCAGTCAAAAGCAGTCTGTGGTTACTACGGTAGAGCTTTAAGTCAGCATTTAATTTGCACGAAGCATTTTTTATACGATGCCCTTCATCAATTATAATGTAATGCCAATGTATTTTACTTAGCTTTGGTCTGTCATGCTTATTCATTAAATACTCATACGTTGTCAATAAAACATTGAATTTCAGATGGAGAATTCTTTCCCTGCAATGACAAGCAGACAAGAATGTTACCAAGAACATGTGAGCTAACACAAATTGTATAAAGAACTTCATCAATACATTTGAGTCTTTTTCAGTTCATACTTAAAAAGCTTTCGTCTGTCTTCGGGTGGTCCCGAGTAAACTATTTTATTTATGCTAGGTGCCCAAAAGTTTATTTCTGATTCCCATCCTGGTAGGACAGAGGACGGCACCACCACCAAAAAGGGACCGCGATCATTTTTTGTTTCCATCAAGTAACAGAGTAAAGAAATAACCTGCAAAATATTCTCATTAGATCATCTATTATCTTAATATGCATTGCAGAGAATCTAGAAATTTTAAATAGAACTCAGACCATCAATGCACAGTGCACTAAAATCAAACTGTTTGCAAACTATATTTCCAAAATGAAATCAAGAGCCTGAATCAAGGAATTGACAAAAGAAAAATCATGAATGTCTATCACGTTACCTTCAACAGTCTCAAACATTTGCAGGAAGACCCCCACCAGCAAAACCCGACAGTGTTTTTTTGTAAAAGTTAAAATATAAATCGTGCATGCAGAGACTAAAGCCCTGATTTTTCAGGTAAACAAAGAGTTTAATCCACCAAAGCCCATTTTCCATTCTTCAACTAAAAAAGCTGCTCCTTCTTTTCTCTAAACTAATATCCACTATTCACGGGCAAACTCTAAAAAAGCTATCATCGCCACCCATGCTCTCATCCACCCCAATAACAAAAACAATATCAAGAAAAATGAATTTAAAATGAATATGGCAATACTGCAACACCAAGTTCAATACTTCATGCAAATGAAATCCACTTCACACATTCCTATGATCAATCAAAACAAAACAGTGTTCCCAGGCGTGTGAGAATTACTCAGGAAAAGGGTCTAGCACCCAGAGGGCTAGGCGGGATTGATAAAAGCCTAAGGCCAAGAAATATTAACTTTTAGTTTCTATCTTGTTCAACCACAACTTTAGCACAGTTCTACAATGATCTAGAAGAGAAAGTAGATGGTAGGTTACTTTCATAGATTCATTAATGTGGACAGGTGCATGCCGCTTGGGCTAGGTGACCTTGGTACTTTGGCTATTGTAGGCACATTAGTCTGAGAGAGGTGATAGATGTTGTTACGAGTACTCTGTAGAAATAAGAGTGCATGGGCAAGACGAGAACCATGTGGAATACAAGAAGCATGCAGGTTGGAATGGGGAAATTTGGCTAATAGAACAGTTCAATATCATTTTCAAAGCGGCTAAGATTCCCGAGGAATGGAAGGGAGTACGATGATCAAGTTGAAAAAAGGCAAGGGCGATATCCAAAACTGCAAAAACTATATGAGTATCAAACTCCTCTGCCGCACTATGAAGGGTTGGGAATGACGGGTGACCATTTCCGAAAACTAAATCGTGAATTTGAATTTATATCAGAGTAATCTCACAGTTGAAGCTTTCATCCACCTGTTAAAGAGCTTGATGGAGCAATACATGGATAGGAAGAGTGATCTACGCATGGTGTTTATTGATTTTGAGAACACGTATGATAAACAAAATGATGATGTATCTAGAGAAGTTTTGGCATTGATTAGAATCTAGAGGCATGCCGGTTGCTTAGATTATGATGATTGAAGATACGTACTGTTATACCCCTGGATGGCTCCACCAAAACCTCAAACCATCCCTAAACATCCAAAATGCCTTTTCTTTTATTTCCTTTCAAATAAAGTCTTCCTCCACTTATTTTAAGTCCCTTGACCGAAAATAAGAAGACCACTTTTATTTTTTTTAAAGCCTTAAATAATCAAATAACACACTTCCCTTCTTGTTCCTACATAGGGATGAAATTCCAGCCCCATTTTGGTTCCTAAAATCCAACCAAAATTACCATTTACCACAAATAAAAAAATCAGCAAAAAGAGTCTAAAGTTGAATTGTAAAAGTTTCTCCTTTTGTTGGCTAATTTCACAACCAAACATGTAGTGTACCTTCCTCACCTTTTCCCCTACAAAAGGCCGAAATAATCTCTTCAAAACAAGCCAAAGAATATCCTCCAAATTCATCCAATATCTCCTTGTGATTT